GGGTACTAGATTTATTGGGATGATATATGGGAGGGGAGTTGGGGGCCAGGGTGAAAAAGGTGAAGGGATTAAGAAGTACAAATTGGTAGTTATGAAATAGTCATGAGGATGTAAAGTAAAACATAGGGAATATAGTCAATAATATGGTCATAACTATGTATAGTGCCAGGTGGGTGCTAGACTAGTCAAGGGGAATCACTTCTTAAACTATATAGATATCTAACCACTATGCTGTACACCTGAAATTGACATAAAATACTGAATTTCAACTGTAATTGAAAATTTTTTAAAGTGACGGGGGCAAGGGGAAGGGGAATAAGAGGTTCAAATCTCCAAACATAAAACAAAGCAGTCATGGGGATGTAACATACAGCATAGGGAATACAGTCAATAATATTGTGATAGTGTGGTACAGTATCAGATGGTAGCTACTTATCATGGTGATCACTTCCTTAGCTATATAAATGTTGAGTAACTATTGTGTACACCTGAAACTAATATATTGTACATTAGCTATATTTTAATAAGTCTTAAAAAAAAACATGCTGTAGATGAGGTACAGAACTAACACCCACCTTATAGGCTAAGCCCAATGAACCAGGTAACGAAGATGTGTTTCCAGTATTACAATGTGCACCACTCCACATGTGCAAAAACTGTGAGATATTGACGTATATGACCATGCACATCCAATGAAATCACTTTTTAAGGCCAGGAAACACTGTATACTGGGATCTCAGCCATGGAGGAAAGAATGCAATCCAAGTAGACTGTCCCACAGCATTCCTGGCCACTGTGAAACATCTGATCCCGCTGACAATTGTCCACAGCCAGCACTGCTTCCCAAAGACGCTCCACCACTCTGCTCCTCTGAGCCCTGGTGCCAGAGCACAAAATGTGCTAGATTGCTCAGCTCTGACAACAGACAGTCCAAGGGATTGACCAGCCAGAGACACACAAGAAGGGTCACAAGACCCTAAGCTTTTCAGGAATAAATGCTTATAACCTCTCACCCACCTCCAGCCAAGGACCTCCAAGGAGTCCACAGAGGGACCTGCTACCCAAGAAAACCCTGAACATGGCTCAGAGGAAAGAATGGGCAAGGTGCTCCTCCTGGGAGAGCTGTTCATTGGGTGGTTATCAACAATACATATTTACTGAACATCTACTACGTACCACCAGGCCAGGCACTGTTGGGGATTGAAAATGTTTCACTATGAATTGTATTCTGAGGATGCTTAATAACGTAAAGATAAGATATACATACAAATAACTAAAACATAGGGCATTTTATATGCGAAGTGCCACGAGAGAGGTTCAGATAAGAGTGTGACTTCAGACTGGGGTCAGAGAAGGCCTCGTGGAAGACACAATTTGGGATTATTCCCAAGCAGCTATAAGGACAGTGCCAGGTGAAGAAAGGGTGGTATGACGGAAGAGAAATTTCAGATGGAGAAAGGAGTGGAAGAAAAATTAGGAGGTGCACAAGGGGAGAGGAGGGATGTTTAGGAACTTATGGTGGAGAAATGGTTGGGGCTGTGACAGAGAGGAATGGAGGATAAGCCAAAAGAGGTCACACAGACCAAGGAGGGCCTGGCCCCTAGAATCTGGCCTTTCCTCAATGAGCAGCCACTGAAGCCTCAATTTCACTTATCCAGCAAAAGTCATCCAGCAGTGCTGTTGACATGAGGGGTGCTGTAGAGACAAAATGTCAACAGGCGAAAAACACAAACTGGCCTCAGCAAGAGGAGAAAGGGGCAGGAAAGGGGTCACAGGCTTAGTGGAACTTCTCATTGAGTTTAACAAGCCTTTACTGAGCACTTGGTAGGAGCCAGGCCCTTCGCCTGATAAAGGACCATGGGCCTTGCCCTGTGTGGGTACAGCCATTAGCAGACCTCAGGGAAGGTGTGAAGTGGCAGGTGAGCATCCCTACTTTGGAATCCTAATCTGCGGCAGTTCAGTGCTACAAAGAACCAGGCAGTAGCCTGGGGCTGGGAGGAGTACCAGGAACAGGTTGCACAGGCTGAAAACTGTTCAACCACTTCAGTTTGCTTATGAGAAACTCAAGTTTGGGAAGCAAAATAAAGCATTTTTCAACACAACAAAGTACAATATTGTAATCATCCCCACTCTGACACTCCATAAAGACGAGCTCTCCCACACCCCCCTGCTAAGAAGAAAATTAAGTAAATGATATATGTTTTCAATAAGTGGAACTGAGGAAATACTGCTACTGGCTGAAGAGGAATGTTACTGTGGGAACTGAGTTGCACCGTTTCCATGGCTTCAGCCTCCACTAGTCCCTGCAAGTCCACAAATGTAAGCTGCATAGAAACTTGAGATTGTTTATAATTTTTTTTTTAAATCTAACCCTGGGAAAACATGCAGCCCGCAAGGTAGCGTCTAAATTCCCAAAGCTGGCTGAGTTACATACAACCCAGACCAAACATGCATTCGGCCAATGGGGATGGCCAGTTTCTCATCCAAGAAAAGCAATAATTTCTCTACAAACAACCTGTAACAGGCAGAAACATCTTCTACAAAGCCGGCCCTGAATCTTACTCTACGTGCTTGTCGTACACATTTCCCAGAGCTATGAAGCAAAGAAAATCATGAGCTCCCAGGTACACACAGCTTTGCAACCCATATTGGTCTCTGCCCTTTGTTTTGCCATTCACATTAACTGAGAGGTATTTACTACAGATGAAAAATAAGCTTTGTTCAGCTGCCTCTAAACTGATCCCAAAAATAGAGCAATCACTTGGGTACAAATTGGGTCAAATGTATAAAAAAACCCAGCTCCCTGGTGGGAGGACTGACATGGCATGGGACCTTGCTAAGAGTCAAGGGGAAAATCCACACAGCTCTTCCCTTCCCACAGTGGGACAGGAAATATTTAAAGAGTCAGGCAGAGAATAAACTCATCTGGCCATGTGACCATCCAAGTGAACACAAGACAAACTCGAATGCTATGAGCTTCGGAATACTAAGAGGTCAAAGGAATACATGTTGGTTTTTAGAAAGGCCTGCCAAAATAACACCCTGCCCCCTCTCCCAAAAGAAAGACATATAGGAATGTATATGGGAATTGTCAAGAAAGGATCCACGGAGGAGCAGCTGCCAGAGGGAAGAAGATTTATACATCTCCTATATTTTATTCCCAACCTTATTAGCTGAGAAAGCCAAATGGTCTGACAGCAACTTACATTAGTGCCCCTAATTTCACTGGGGAAAATCTAAATATTAATTGGCTATACATGCAGCTATAGTAATTGTTCCATTGATTTGAATTAATCTGTCTTTCTGAAAGGTATTTATTTTCTCAGTTCGTTTAATCATGTTCTTTTGAGCCACAAAAAAAAAAAAACACAAAAAACAACAAACTGGGTCACCATCCACGTTGTTAAATTTGGTAACAAGGCTGACACCATCTGTGGCCTAGACTATGATGATCTATCCCCATTGATGGGGGCTTTTCACTACTTCTGCTTTTCCTTTGAAATGATCATCCAATGTCACTTGTCTACAACCAAAGCAGAAACTATTTAAAACATCCAAAGTTACACAAATCATCTTTAGCATAGTATAAGCATGTACTCACAGTGTTTATATGTATATCCAACTCCCATTTACAATTGCATTTTCAGTAGCAATGTCCAATTTTTTTGTAATTATCTAGAAATCAGACCAGAAGACCCCAAAGATGAATAGATATCTATTCATCTAAAATATGCCGCTACATCTGAAATATGCCGCACATTTTAAATGCAACATGAAATCCTGTACATAAACCATTAAGGCGAACATCAAAAGCATAATTTCGATATCTTCAGAACCCAGCAGAGCACTCCCCACCCTAGCTCTGCCTTCACAACACTCAGTTAGGAACATCCAGCCCTACTAAATAATACAGCTCCACCAGGAGAAACCAAAACAAGTGGAACTAGGTAAGAGGCGGAGGCAAAACAATGGAGAGTGTTTCCTGTTATCCAGCACTGGCCTTCCTCCTTCAGCCTTTCTGCCTGGCCTCCAGTTATAAAGGATTGATCTAGGCAAGGATGCTGCAGCTCCAGAAAAATACTGAAATGGTTCCTGAATCATCAAGGAAAGAGTACAGAATGTCAGAAGTAAAAACAATCCTAGTTATCTTCTCATCCCATCCCCTTAATTGACCAGTGGGTGAATGGCAAGCCAGAAAGGGCATGAGAATTCCCCAAAACACAGCTAATTGGCAGCCAAGCCGGGCAAGCTCCTAGTCCCACTCTAGCGCTCTTCAGTGCTTTTTTTAAAAAAAAAAACTATTATGTATCAACCTTTCCCAAAGGAAGTTCCATGAAACGCTGGTTCCGAGATATGTTCTGCCAGAAAAATGTTTAAAGAATTCTTGACCCATTACTTTTAGGGACTAGCTGAGTTAAACAAAATGAAACTGGGTTTTTAACTACAAACCTTCCCGGAGCTTTTACTGAGCTAATGTGCACTATAAATCTTTAAGAGGGCAATAAAGTATGTGGCAGTATCCCAATTTATTTAACCATAGGATCATTTTATCTTGGGGCATTTCATAGGAAATATTCCACTTCTCTGAAAATTAATAGTTCATATATAAAACCCATGATAATTTTCTACTTACCAGAGAAATTGACCAAAGTACCCAAATAACACTGGATTTAAAAAAAATTAAAAATGAAGCTAATATTATCAGAAAAAGAATGGCAGACAACAAAAGCCTATATGGAGAGAAAAGTTATTTTTAAATTTGCTACAAACGTCTTCCATAAAAACTTCCACATCTATTTATACAAGATTCATGAGTTTAAACACTTTCATTCAGTATAAATTTGAGAATACAGGTAAAAAACAAACACTGTTGCAAAGCTGCAGAGAACATCACATGCATAGCTGTAAACTTCAACCACCCAGAAAGCTAGCTGCCAGTTCAAGTACAGAGACAAATGATCACCACACATCAGGACAAGCAGGAATCCAAGCACACTTACCAAGTTATGATTTGTTGAATTAGAATCATCTTCAGGGAATGGGATGTAAATAGCTAAGGCCACACAATTGGCAAAAATAGCCAATAATATAAATATGTCAAATGGTCTGAAAAATTTTGTTAAGGAATATGTTCACATGTATTATACAAACATAAACCACCTCTCTCATCACACTCCCAATCACACCACTTTTGAATCACTTCTAAAATGAAAATTATATACACAAATCTCTTTTCAACTGACTGTTGTGATGACTAGGTTCCCAGCAGAAGTAATTGTAAGTGGTCATATCATAGTAGATCTTCCTATCAAATAACCTCTCCATGTGCTTTTCTTCTGTTGCAAGGATCATGTTACACGCATTCTTCTTCTGTACATTTTATATTAAAACCTAAAAGGACATCCAATTAGGGCACTGTGCGAACCAGGTTTCTGCTTCTTGTAGTTTTAAAAGCAAGAGGGCCTTGGAAAGCTAAATTTCTGGCTGTTTGTTTTTTTCCTGACACAAAGAGAAGTCATCACGAGACAAATCTCTTCCACACATCCTTGCCTCCATGTGTTAGAGTCATTTTCTCAGGCACTATTCTTGGCTCAGTCAGTCTGAATCTCCTGTCTGGACTGGGGCAGGCCAAGTCACCAGGACCTCCTCCATTCTACGGGTGACTATCTGGTGGCTTGTTCCAATACCTCATACACTGCAATAAGCAAGCCAGGCTCCAGCTCCCTCCTCTCCTTTCTTAACTAATCAATGGTTATCACTGCTTCTGGTTGGAGCTGGACTGGAGCTCAGTTTATAATGTGTTGCTGCATTCAATTTATAAACTAACTAAAGAGCCATAAGAAATCAGTGCCAGACTTTCAAAGTACAATTTAACCATTCTAAATCTCAGGGGTCTGTCTGTAAGAATCGCTTTGAGATCAGCTCAACAGATACTTGCTAAAACATGCTGGTGTTATTAAGGGACATTGTCAAAACTGGCAATATAAAATTTGACATCTGCCAAAACAACTGTTTTTCTTCTTTTGGTTTTGAGCCTTTCCAACTGCAAGGTTTTGTGAACACCAACCTAATCTGCAACTCCCGGGCTCAGTTTTATAGCAGTGTTATTCCCATACACTCACCCACGAAAGGCCACTGGTTTAACTAAATACTTCGAACACTAAAGCTTTGACAATACGAGTATGAACAGACCCTTCTCCATTCATGCTGGTATTCTGGGAAATCCAAAAACACTGAAGGAAACAAAAAGATCCCTTGTCTCTCTGAGGACACCTCGAGTTCTGTGAAACCTCAGCTCCTTAAAGAGCTTCGACACTCACTGAAATAAAGATTAAGACTGTGAACGACATTGTTCCCTTACTAATGTTGATGGGTTTATTTTTAAAGCCAGTTAGCTTTCATTCATATTTATTCTTTTAACTCATCTAATATTACAAAATCTCTTTTATCTAGGGACCCGACTTGAAGACCTTAGGACTTCAAAATCTCCTTTTCATTTTCTTTTTAGAAGTTCCTACTGAAATTTAAAATGCTAATTGCCCCAATGTTATTCTACACAGAAACACACTTACTGTCTCTCCCCTCCTCCACACCACCGTCTTTCTTTTTAACTTCCAGATACCTAAATGGAAAACCAACAAATTTGAGAAATATTAACGCTATTCAGGAAGGCCAAACATAAGTGGGGTTTTTTTTCTTTATAGTGGTCCAGTTTCAGTCTCCAGGTATTGGAAGATGCTATCTCACTGCCACACGATTTTACAAGGCAAGTGGCACAGAGCAATAGAGAAACAGATGGGTCTGATCCTAAAAATTCCTTCTGATAAGGCAAACATTCCTCATGCCTCCAAAATGCAGGATACTCTGCCTTTCCTGTGTGCAAAAACAAGTGAGGCTCTCACCTGGCTGATAGATCCTAGCGCAGTGGCTTTAGGAAGGTTTCTATAACCTGCTCCCTGAACCAGAAGGAAACTGTCATTTGAAAAACCAAACAAACAAACCCTATATTGTTTAAGGATCCATTCTACCAACTGTTCCATTGGCAGGCAGGCTCCTCCCTGCACTGGCAGCCACGTCCCCTAATTCCTGTACACATGTGTCTGGCAATGCAGGAAAGGGAGTCGGCAGCATGATCCAGGAAGTCGTTCCGTGCACATAAATTGCTATATACAAATTACTGTGCACAAAGAGAAACAGCACCAGGCATCCCACCTCACTCCACATGAAATCAATGACCCCACCGAGGTCCCTGCTTACTCAGTCTCGTCAAGCCAGCATACTGAGGAGATCTTTCTGGCTAAGCACAACGAGCGCCTCTGACTCCTGGCTAAGTGCAACCACTGTCTCTGACTCCTGCAGTGCCACTGAGGCACACCCTCTTTACCCAGCTCCCTCCTGGGCTGACACTAGTATTCATCCTTAGACTAGAAAAGAACTTAAAGAGAAAACACATCCACACAACCCCAGCTATGTGAGAGACACCATGACTCCTTCTAGAGAAAAGACATCTGTTCTCAAAAGGAAAAACACATGAAAACCCCTCAAATCCTACCCTTACATTTGGCTGCTCTCTCCAAAACCTTTCTAGACAGTTGACTCATTTTAACTCGTGTCCGTGAGCACAGGAAATAGCCAGCTAAGACGGAGGGCATGAAAACAGCTGCCGGCGAGGTAACTCAAATTATAAGGGGGTTTCTGCTCCACTTCGTAGCAAGTTACCAACATCCTCTCTTTTCTAAGGCTCCTTGTCAGCCCCAAATATACTTCTGGGAAAAGGAAATGCTTTGTTTTACCCAGACCAATGAATCATCTGACTAATTACAAAGCCATTTGCACAGAAAGAAGACCTCAGTCAACCTTTTCTGAAGGGTGGCATTAACTGGATTCTGTCTGGCTTCCAGATTTGGGGAAGGGGGTGAACAGACAGAGCAACCTAGTTTTCCAAGATCTGGGACATAACAACCATCCTTAGGCATTGGGAGTTCAATTTTAAAAATACAAAGAAGACACCCAGAAATGTAACTCTAGTCCAAGGACATAGACAGAATTTTTTATAAAGGCAGCAACTGGAAATTCCTCCACTGAGAGGGCCGTTCCCTAACTCATAAGGGTTGGGGGGTGGGGAAGGAAGAGGCACATAGAAACCTCTCCCTTTGCGTGTTCCCTCATGCTCACATTTCAGATGCCTTTTTGGAACTTGTCAAAAGGAAATTCCAAGAAGTCATAGCGTTGATGAGCAAATTGCTCCTTCCATATGAAGCAAGTGTTCATATTTGTAGCTACCTGAACAATTAGAATCACCATATGTCAGAGGGGGAAGCAACCTTAGCATTAATTGGAGTTTCAGAGGCAAATTCAAACATCTGAATGAGAGGATTCCACTAAAGGTCAAAAATGTATTTAATTCTGGTAGAGTCTCACACAGTGCTCTTCTTTTTAAATCAGCATACCTTATTTGCAATTGGTCAAGTGAATATCACTGTCCCCAAAACAGTGGTAGATTTAAACTAACCATCCAACATCAAAGGACCAAAGGTTAGTTTCACATTTTAATTACCTATCACTTTGAAGTTTCAGGTTATCACTCCCTGCCCCCACCACCATCACTACACACACACACACACACACACACACACACACACACACATACACACAGAGAGAGAGAATAGGCTAAATATATCCATAGAGCCACCCACCTGCACCCCAAGGAGATAGGAAGGTATATACAATGAAACCCTTTACACACAGCTTCTTCTGTTGCTCACATTCCAGACTCACATTAAGTGCCATTTCAGAAAGCAAATCCTTTTAAAGAGCAGATGGTAAAAGAGAAAATGAGAAAGACATCCCCCCAAAAAAGGATACTTCCATTCCACGATACTAATGCAGGCTCTTCGGATGGGGTTATTGAGTGACAAACAGAAAAGGGCGCGGGCAGGTCGGCTGTTCGAGGAGTTACCCTGTTTTTTGCTCTTGGAGTATTGCTGACGTTTTCTTTGGGAGAGAGATCCTACAGGTGGGGGTGCGGAGGTGCTCATAGTTTGGGCAGCCTTGGCCTGTCTAGCAGCATCGATTGCAGCTTGCCAAGACAGGACGGTTTGCTTGGAGCTATTCGGCTGAGTTGGTCCTTCACCAGAAAAAGAGAGTCTGGTGCCTCTTGCATAGTTTGCTTCTGGGAAGAAAGAAAAAAAAACATTTTTAAAAATACAATAAAAATCCAGTGTCAGAAAAAAGCAAAGGTTGACTCCAACAATAACAAGGGGGAATTGTACCCATGTTTCCATTTTGAAGCTCATGTCCTGTTTTTCAGAAGCAAGAGTTTGGTCAGCCAGAACAGCAAGGAAAGTCCCCGGGCTCTGCCCTAAGTATCGGTCACATAGGACCTTTTTGCTGCATGATACCCAATGGGGTTAAGACCTCTGTACATCTATGTCTTCACAAGGTGTCTTTTAGTGTATTTCTTCAGACAAACTGAGGTCATTCCCACATTTCATTCCGCATCTTTTCTGACTTTTAAAACCCATGTATCTCTAATGAGTTAACAGATCTGCACAACAGCTTTTCTCCAAAATAACTACCATCATCACAAAAAAAAAGGCAGTGCCAATAATTCAATAGTCTTAATCATTTTCAGAGTGTTACTCCAACATCTTCCCATAGCCATAAATGCATTTTTTTTTTAGCATGGAAAAAAAAATCCTCCACTGGCACCACAGCAATACCAAAAGCCCTATAACAAATATCTAGATTATGCACTGACACTTCCTGCAAATGAAAATTCATGATGCTTGGGACTCATTTCCTCCACAGGCTTCCGAAAACAGAAAACATCTTTAGGGCTCTTTTGCATTTTAAATTGCAGCTGAAGCAGCCAATCCAGCATCCAGAGAAAGAGACAAGAGAGGCAGCCTGCACCTCTACACCTAGGATAGACAGGCTGGATTATGCTAGGGGGCCTTCAAGGCCCAAGCAGGAATCACACCAGTGTAGGCTGGCATCCTGGTGCACAAGGGCAGAACCCCAAGGAGGCATGCAAAGCCCCCTCTGGCTTTGGATCAGGCCAGCACCCAAGCTGGTCTCCCAGGCATCTGCCTGCCTTGGGTCGCAACCTCCTTACTGAGACAAGTCCAAGTGCGAGTGGCAGCGGCACAGGTAAAGGGATGGGCATTTGCAAAACCAGTTCTTGCGAAGTAAAGAATAACGGGGAGCCAAAGCAAGCACTGGTCCGCCTGCCCAGCAGCCTGAGAAGGGGGCCATTGGGGCAGGCCGCAGACAGTCCGGTCCTGGGAGGAGTCGTGCCAAGCCCTCCCTTGGGGAGAGCTCACCTGGGAAGGCTGCAAGCCCACAAGAGTTGTGGCGGGAGCCAGCGACCTCCAAGGAGGGCAAGGAGGGCTGGCCAGGAAGGGCTCCAGCCTCCCACGATCCAGCCCGGCTGGTGTGGGAGCTGCACGTGGTGACCGGGCCAGGGTTGGAGAGGGGAGCCCCACAGCGGTAGCGACTCCCCGGGCATTGCTAGGTTACCGACATGTGCACAGCGGCGGCACTGGGAGCGGGAATACGCACTCCAACCCATCCCTGGTCGGAGATTCTGAGACCCGGCCTCCCTCTGGAGGGGAGGGGTGTGCTTCACCCACCCATGAGAAGAGTGAAACCTGGCAATCCTAGAATTTTCACGATGCCACCAGAATCCTATCTAGTCAACCAGGGGCGGGGAAAACGGAGAAGGCGAGAAGAGGATGGAAAGGGGGCTCAGGCTGAAGATTAATAGCCACCCCCCTTCCATAGCTTGGGAGCCTTGGAGGAAAGTTGAGCCCGAGGACACTGAACCCGAATCACCTCGGCTCGCCGCTCCTCCAGCTGCACAGTACTCCACGGACTTCACGACCGCCCCCACCCCACAAATGCAGAATTAACTCTGACATTCAAGGCCTGAAGAGGAGAACCGAATGGCTGTCACGCATCTCCCCTTTCTATAGATGACACCGAGCTAGAAGCCTCCTCTCCAACCCCCTCAACCCACCCAGCACATTAGAGACGGGAGGGGGGGTGAGAACGAAGAGGGGGTGGGATGAGAAGGACCATGACAAGGATTAGATTTGGCAGCGGGTGCCCAAGCTCTGGCTGCTCACCGTTCGCGTGGTCCGCTTGCTGCTGCCGTTGATGCTGCATTTTTTTCATCATCATCATCATCATCATCCACGAACATTTATTGAGCGCCTATTGTGTGCAGGGCACTGTGCTGGGCGTGGGGCGGGGAAGGCGCGGGTAGGGGGGTTATGGATAGGTGGGAGCCGCGATCCCTGCCCTTATTCTCGCTTCAGCAGGGGGTGGGGAAGGATGGGGACAGATAACAGAAAACAAGAATAATTTATAAAAACCGCTCGCCACCCACGCTCCCTCTTTCTCAAAAAAAAATGGAGCAAAATAAACTTTTTTTAAAAAATAAGATCAGATGTATATATTATCTTAATAATATATACATGTAAATTTTTTTGCTGCAAAGGAGAATTGGCTTGGTCCCCTCCTCTAGCGGAGGGACGCCGCGGTGATGCTGGCCCGGCCGCCGGGGCCGCTCCGAGCGCCCCCCATGCCCGCCGCCCGCCGCGGTGCC